ATATGATTTTGCTTGTGTGTATTTAGAGGGGCTTGTTTTCTTGGCATCTTGCATCCTCTCTGGTTCTTATACTCTTTCCACCTCCTCTTCCGTGGGTTTCTCTGAGCTCTGAGGGAAGTGACTGATGAAAACATACCATTTAGGGCTGAGTGTTCCAAGGTGTCACACCTGCACTGCCTGGAACCGAGAATCTGACAAAGGTGTTGGGATTAACAACACAGAGAGCTGGCTTGGTGGTCAGAAGGCTCTTTATTTTTTTTCCTGGGCTGTTTTTATACTCTAGCACCAGAAGAGGGAGGAAGAGCTCAGGAAGATGCGGTCAGTCTCAAGCCTGGGTTCAGGGCACGGTCACGGAGCTCTCAGAGGGAAACAACATTCTGCTCCAGTAAACATGTTTTTCAATGGCATTGTGGGGTTGTTGGGTTTCTGTCAGGGCCATTTTTTTCCCCACAATTCCCCCTTTTTTGTTTTATATGAGGGGTCCCTGTCTTAGGTCACATAGGCTTTCCTGCCCCTTACCGGTCATTGGAGAGCCCTGATCTCCTGTTTTAGGTGGGGCGGTTTCCCATGAGTTGCCCATCGTGGGGACCTCTTCATCTCTTGTTGAGCATCTGTAGCCAAACTTCATGGCTATTGGGAGAACCAGGGTGAGGCTAAGTAGGACTTGTGGAAGGTCCGCCGGACCTTGCATAGTGCAAATAACCCTAGACCTTCCAGAAGTACTCCCATAATGGCAAAGGACATAGCGTCTTCCCATCGCTGCACCCAACCCCCTAACTGGATCATGGCATTCTACCACCCCTCGCCTGAGAGCAGAACAACCCTCATCTTATTAATTTCTGCAATCTGATGAGCCAAAACATTAGTAAAATTTACAAAAGAATCATTCCAGGGTCCAGCCAATATGCATTCAATCTGGACACTCCCATAGAAACATTTTTTTTTTTACAGAAACCAAACTGAATATGGGAATTTAGGGTATTCTGCATGGCCAGGGCTTCGCTGACTCTGCCAGCAAGGTTATTAACAGTCTCTACATTGGAAGCGGACTGAGCAATGGCAATACCTGCAATGGCTGTCAAGGTCGCTGAGATGGCAATAGCAGCAACAGCAGCGGTGCTTCTGGTCCCATACAAGATGATTTCTTCTCCAGTATAGTGGTCTTCCACTGCAATGGGAGCTAGGATAGGGATACAGACGATCAGGGCATTGGCATTCTCAGGAGACCAGCAGTTACTCAGGACACAGGAGCTGGAAGAACAATTGAGAGATTCTCCCCCCCTCTTCCATCCCCTTCCATGTCACAAACAAAAAGGGAGATAGCACACAAGCCTTACTAAAATTAACCTTTTATGATGTCTCGAATGCTTGGGAGGTGTTCCAGCTAGCTGTTACATTAAAGGCAAGGCCTTGCTGCAACATAAAGGGGGCATCCTGGAGAAGGTGGGGGTTATCCCATTCTTCTCTGCGGTGGGAGACATTCTTAAATGGTGGTCGGTGTCCAAACCACCAGAGAGGACCTTCTCCTTTCAATATCCAGGGCTCTTGAGTAATGCATTCTCCCCAAAGCAAGGGAGAAGAAAGTGAATAATCCCTCTCCCTCTGCCAGCACAAGGGGGTTGGATTTGTGTTGAATTGTTTCTCTATTGATTAATGGAATATAGGATATTTCTTAATCCCAGCATTTTACTATTACTACTAGTGGGGAAAATATCATCAATGGAGGAATTAATCAACACCACACAGTGACCTTTAAAGGAGGTGCTCGATGGGAATTCACTACTATTCTGGATACGCCTAAAGCATAAGCTACCTTTTAGCAAAAGTGTCAAATTAGATAGTGGTCTCTGTTCCAACTGTATGTTGGATGCTGCCATCCCCAATGTGTTATTGGTGCTGAAAAAGGCAGGGAACAGGAAGCTACTCTGTCTGACCGGCATCAGAATGGGTGGATTCCTCACAAGGGCCCATACTTCCCTTGCTGTTCTGCTTGGTGATGTCTGGGTTGTCTTGATCAGGGCCAGCGTGAGGAGCAGTGTCAAGGTCCACATGATGGACACACAGTTAAGGGACCCAGATGGGGTTTTCACTTCCTGGAGGAAAAACACAAACAGTAACTTTAACCCTAGCTAACAGGGGAGTGAGTGACTGCCATTTTCCTGTAATCAGGTCTTTCCATCTAACCCATCCCAGTGATTGAGAGGGTTTGTTCCAATGTCTCTCCATTGCAAACAAATTATTTTTATCTACAGTCAAAAACTTTTAAATGGTAGATAATTGTGAATTGGGGAAGGACATGTATTTCCCCTTTTTATTTTATAAAAATATTGTTTAAGGATGGCATGAGTGCATTCCATGATGGCTTGTCCCATAGGGTTATGTGGGATGCCAAATGAATGATCAATATGATGTTCCTTGCAGAAAGCTACGAAACGATGACCAGCATATGCGGGGCCATTATCTGTTTTTAAGATATCAGGAACACCCATATAGGCAAAGGCCTGTAAACAATGAGAGATGAAATCATTAATCCCTTCTCCAGAATGTAGAGATGCAAAAACCACCTTAGAATATGAATCCACAGAATCATGCATATATTTTAATTTTCCTGCTTGTGGCAGGTGGGTGACATCCATTTGCCAAAGATTGTTAGCCCTTAGACCTCGGGGATTCACCCCCTCATTGGGGGAATTATGATAAGGGGCACAATCAGGGGGAAGTAATCTGAGTGGCAACAAGTAAGGAGCAGCTTGTATGAAACTTAAGGGAGAGTGCATTTAGGAGGTACTGCTCATGAAGGTGGCAAGTGTGCTGCTCCTCTGTAAACATGACTATTGGGGGTCGAGTTAAGGAATCAGCCAGCTGATTGCACTGGGCAAGGGGTCCTGGGAGACCTGTATATGCACGTATGTACCCCACAAACACAGGGTATGTGCTGCCAAACAAGATATTGAAGCTTAACTAGAAGAAAATGAATTTGAGATGTGGGGAGAACATATGGAGAAGTCTCTAATGGCTTTACAATACTAGCAACATAAATGCTATCAATATATAAATTAAAGGGTTCTTTATCAAACAACTGGAAGGCCATTAGGCAAGAAATCAATTCGGCAGCTTGTGCAGATACTTGTCCCATAAATAATTTCCTTTGTACTTGGGAAGAAACCACCACTGCAAAACCCTTAGAGGAGCCATCTGTAAATACTGAGTGCACCCCTTGAAGGGGGGCCTCCTTTAAAATCTTAGGAAAGATTACAGGGTTCTGCCTTAAAAAGGACAGCAAGGGACTATTTGGGTAGTGGTTATCAAATTTGGCTCCCGTAGATGTGATTAAAAGTGTCCATCCATCGTGAGAGGTCTGTAAATATTCAATCTCTTCCTTATCATAGGGGAGAATGATCTTATCAGGAGGCTTTCCAGAGGTTTGGATGCTAAATTTATGTGCTTTCTATAACAATTGTAATATCAAATTATAATGGGAGGCCACAACCTTCTTTGGGGAGGCTCACAAGTGGATCCAATATATAGGGCCATTTTGCCAAAAAAAAAAAAAAAATCAGTGGTGGGTGAAAAACTAGAGGAAAGTACAACCACAATAAGGGCTTGTCCATAATCTAGGTGCTGAAGATGGGCTTTTTCAGTGCTCCTCAATAGTAATTGTATGGCTTCCTTGGCCTCCAGGGTAATTTGTCTGGGAGAGGTTGGAACTGCATAGCCAGGAAGAATATCATAAAGGGGTCTAAGCTCTCCTGTTTTAATGGAAAGAGATGGGCAGATCCATTGAATATCACCCAAAAAACCTTTGCCAATCATGAAGAGTCTTTAAATTTGAACAATCAATTTGGAGTCTTTGAGACAGGAGGCTGGTCTGTTGGATCTGATGCCTTAGATAGGTGTAAGGAGCTTTCTTTTGAACCTTTTCTGGGGCCAAAATAAACTCGTGGGCCTCCAGGAGCTCCTGTAATTTAGCAAATGCCTTAAGACACCTCTCCTCAGCAGGCGCTGCCAGTAGAATATTATCCATATAATGGATAATGTAAAGATCAGAAAACTTGCACCTGACAGGATCCAGGCAGGCAGCCACATAAGCCTGGCATATTGTAGGACTGTTAGCCATTCCTTGGAACCACCCATTGAAAGAGAAGGGCGGGTTCCCGAAAATTAATAGAAGGAAGGCTAAATGCAAACCCGGGGCTGTCTTGGGAATGCAGCGGAATGGAAAAGAAGCAGTCCTTTAAATCAATAACAATTAAATGCCAATTTTTAGGGATAGCCACAGGTGAGGGCAAGCCTGGCTGAAAGGCTCCCATAGGCTGCATAGTTGCATTAATGGCCCTCAAATCCTGGAGCAGTCTCCATTTTGCTGAAGCCTTTTTAATCACAAATATAGGGGTGTTCCAGGGGGAGGTGGAGGGGATCACATGTCCTACCTCCAATTGTTCTTGAACTAGTTGGTTAGCCCGCTGAAGCTTCTCCGCTGGTAAGGGCCACTGTTCCACCCACACCGGATTGTCAGAAAACCATGTAACGGGTATGAAGGCTGGCAGCGCAACAGTGACCCTCATTAAAAATGCCTGAAACCTTTTCTGTCCCCCGAGCCTGAGTATCTAAGGAGAGAGACATCACAGGGCAAACCTCTCCTTGTTCTAATTTACCCCTGGTTCCAGCCCATTCTCTGCATCACTTGGAGGGCCTTGTTTTGGGGCTAGGAACCTTGGGTGGTGAAGACAATTCCCACTTCTTTTAAAAGATCCTTTCCCCAGAGATTAGTGGGGAGGCCAGCTAAAACATAGGTCTGAAAATATCCTGTGTGAAACTCAGAGTCTCGCCATTTTAGAATTCTGAGGCTCTTTTGTGGGATAGCCTGGAGGGTGTGTGGAGTGCTGCAGCTGGTAAGAGGCAGTGGAAGCATTTTCTTAATTGAGGTTCCCTCCTCTCAGATGAGCAAGATTTGTATGAGGTTAATCTAAAATTCTTCAGTACAGGGATTTTGCGCCTACATGGCCTGGGACCAATCTGCAGAGGGTGTCGGGATTAACAACACAGAGAGCTGGCTTGGTGGTCAGAAGGCTCTCTTTATTTTTTTCCTGGGCTGGTTTTATACCCTAGCACCAGAAGAGGGAGGGGAAGCTCAGGAAGAGGCGGTCAGTCTGAAGCCTGGATTCGGGGCACCGTCACGGAGTCTTGGAGGGAAACAACATTCTACTCCAGTAAACATGTTTTGCAATGGCATTGTGGGGTTGTTGGGTTTCTGTCAGGGCTACTTTTTTCCCACACAAGGTTTCTTTCTTTCTACATAATGTCTGACTGTGGGTTTCTGTATTCATTCCTGTCTGCTGTAGAAAGAAGCATCTCTGATGATAGCTGAACAAGATACTGATCTGTCAGTACAGCAGAATGTCATTAGGAGATATTTTATTACTGTGTTTGTTTGTTTGTTTTTAGATCAGCAGTTTTAGCCTAGACCCTAGTCTATCTAGTACCTTGTTCTTGGTAACCCAAACCATATGGATTTCATCTTGTGGAGTGGGTCTTAAATCAAATCAGATGTTAATTGGTTACTCCCACAAGCTTTGTACTATCATTGCCCTAGCATATCTTGCAGACAGGACACCATTTTAGATCAAGGGGTTCATGACTGGCTAGGTACTTACATGTCTCTTGTGATAGCATGCAGGGTATCTTCCTGAACTAAAAACTCTAGATCATAGGGGTGAAGACATGTTCAGTGAGCTGTGTAGGAGTTGTCTTCAGCAATGGGGCCTTGCTGTCAGTTTGTGGAGAACAACTTATAGTCTTCCCAACAGCCTGAGTTATTTTGGGGTTCCCATGTTACCTCTTCTGCCAACTCAATTAGATGAACCCAATTCTAGCATTGGAAACTTTGTTCGGTGACAAGAGATGGCCAGTTGGAATGTGTCTCTCCCATTATTTGGTAATATAATTTGGATCACATTCATATATGTATATATTTAAGGAAGTTTCTACTATTTTTGATTTCCATACTACCCTTCAAATGCCCCTTCATTTTATCTGTCTCACCCTGTATTTTTTCTTTTGTCTCCCTCTGTACTCCCTTCTCCACATGATCCTCACTTTCTGGCCCCATCTATCCATCCAAAACTTTCTATCCTTTTCCCTTTTCCTAATGAGATCTATCTGTACCCTATAGTCACTTACTCTAAGTTACCATCTGTAGTTCTATGGATTATAACTTGGTCATTGCTGACTTAATAGTTGATATCCAAATATGAGCAAATACATACCATATTTATTTTACTGTGTCTGGGATATCTCACTTGGGATGATTTTTTTCTCATCCTAGGTATTTGCCTACATTTTTTAAGATGCCATTTTTAAAAGATTATCTATTTATTAATATGTTTTATGTGTATGAGTGCTCTCTATCTGCATATACACCTGAATTCAAAAGAGGATATTAGATCCATTTTAGATGGTTATGAGTCATCATGTGGTTTCTGGAAATTGAACTCAGAAACCATTGGTGGCACATTCTATTAATCCAAGCACTTGGGAGGCAGAGGCAGGCATATCTGTGACTTTAAGGACAGTCTGGTCTATAGAGAGAGCTCCAGGAAAGCCACAGCTACACAGAGAAATCTTGTCTCAAAAAACAAACAAAAAGCAAATGTTTAATAATGTAATTTTTTAATGGTGGAGTAATTCTCCATTGTGTAAATGTACCACTTTTCTGTATCCACTTTTCTTGCTGAAGGACAGCTAAGTTGTTTCCTATTCTGGTCATTAAGAATAGAACAACAATGAGCATGTTTGAACAAGTGTTTTTTTTGCAGAAAGATGAAGTGTACTTTGGGTGTATTCCAAAGAGTGGTAAAGCTGGATCTTGACATCGATTGATTCCTAACTCCTTTTGAAACAGCCACACTGAGTTCTATAGTGAATGTAGAAGTTTTCACTCCAGCCAACAATGTATGAATGCTCCCATTCTCATTTTTGTTAAGGAGCATAGCCATTCTGACAGGTGTAAAATAGAACCTCAATATAATTTTCATTTGCATTTGCCTGTTGGCTATTGATGCTGAACATTTCTTTAGGTGTTTTTCAGCCATTTGTGTTTCTTTTATTAAGAATTCTCTGCTTAAATCTGTAAACCATTTTAAATTGGATTATTTGTTGACACGATGTCTAGTTTTTGAGTTTGTTATACATTATGAATATTAGTCCTCTAGTGGGTCTAGAGTTGGTAAAACATATTTCCCAGTGTATAGCTTGCTACTATTTTCAAATGATAACATCCTTTGTCATGCAGACGCTTCTCAGTTTCATGAGGTCCAATGAAGTAATTGTTGATCATAGTGCCAGAACTAATGGTTTTCTGTTCAGAAAATTCTCTTGTGTTAATGAGTTTAAGGTTATTTCCTACTTTCTCTTTTATCAGGTTCATTGTATCTGGAATTTTTTGACATCTTTGACACATTTGGAACTGAGTTTTCTTCATGGTGATAAGTATGAATCTACTTGGATTCTTCTAGATGTAGCTGTCCAATTTGACCAGCACCTTATTCTGAAGATACCGTCTTTTTTTTTTTTCCAGTGTGAGTTTCTGGCTTATCAAAAATCAGATGTCCATAGGCATATTAATTGTTATCTTCAATTTGATTCAGTTAATCAATGTGACTGTATTTGTGCCAATACTATGTGTCTTTGTCATTATATTTCTGTAGTACAATTGAAATAAAGGATGATGATACCTTCAGCAGTTCTTATACTGTTCCACCTTGTTTTAGCATCCATTAACATTCATTTTACTTTATTACCCCTCCCCGTCGTGTGTGTGTGTGTGTGTGTGTGTGTGTGTGTGTGTGTGTGTGTGTTTTCTTGTGAAGCTGAAACTTGTCCTTTCAAGAGCTGTGAAGAATTGTGCAGACAGCCGGGTGTTGGTGGTGCACGCCTTTAATCCCAGCACTTGGAAGGCAGAGGCAGGCGGAACTCTTTGAGTTTGAGGCCAGCCTGGTCTCCAGAGCGAATGCTAGGATAGCCTCCAAAGCTACACAGAGAAACCCTGTTCAGATAAACCAAAAAAAATAATTTTGCTGATATTTTGATGGGTATTGTATTAAATATGTAGACTGCTTTTGGTAGGTTGATCACTTCTATTATATTAATCCTATTGATCCATGAACATGGAGGGTCTTTTCATCTATTTCTTCCTTAATAAGTTTCTTCAAAGACTTGAAGGTTTTAATCATAGAAGTATTGCTTGGAGTAACTTTAAGTTACTCCAAGACATTTTATATTATTTGAGGCTATTATGGAAAATGTTGTTTTCCTGATTTCTTTCTTAGACCATTTGTCATTTGTATATTAGAGGGTTACTGATTTTTGTGAGTTAATTTTGTATCTATCTACTTTACTGAAAGTGTTTATCAAATTTAGGAGTTACAGGTGGAGTTTTGGGAGTTACTTCTGTGTCCTATCATATCACCTGCCAGTAAAGATACTTTGACTTCTTCCTTTTCAATTTGTATCCCATTGATCTCCTTCATTTGTCTTAATGTTCTAAGACAAGTACTATATTGAATATCTATGGAGAGAGTGTACAAGCATGTCTTAATACTGTGTTTAGTTAAATTTCTTTGAGTTTTGCTAACATGAAAAATAAAAGACCCAGAGACCGATATTGGGGTTCAAGTTTCAAGCTGTGGGTCAGAAAAACAAAATAGCTGCACACTATCTTTTACCTCTACCTTAGCTGAAAGAATGGTCCTGTCTCCAGGAGCTCTAACCAAGGCTCAGACTACTGCTGCTCCTCAGTGTGGCTAGAGAATCGTGACACTGGCTCCTGAAGACCCTTCTTCTATCTTTTATACCTCTCTTGTGCTGGAATTAAAGGTGCAAGCTCTGTTAATGATTTAGACTGATTCAATCTCATGTAACCCTAGGTGGCCTTGAACTCAGAGAGATCCATCTGCCTTTGTCTCCTGAATCCTGGGACTAAAGGCGTGGGCCTGGCTTCTATGGCTAACTAGTATGGGCTGCTTTGATATTTTGATCTCCAGTGGCCTTAATCAGAACAATATAGCACCATACACTTCTATCCATTTATGTTGGTTGCCCATGGTCTCCTGTAAACTGGGTTTCCTTGTATCCTTAGTCTCTCCAGGAATTTTGTAATAAAAGGGTGTTGAAGTTTGTTAAAGACCTTTTCTGCATCTATGAGATGATTATGTTTTTTTTCTTTCAGTGTACACATCAATAAAGACAGGAGATGAAGATGTCTACCTTGATAAACTTAGATTGTTCTCAGAAAGACAAAAAACATGAGCATATATTATGCTCTAAAGCAAGCAATAAGGCTATCTCTTCTAGAAAAATAGTACTGAAAAAAATTTTCATTAAACTTTACTAATTACATTTTCCTTGGTATAGTTTACTTAGTGATTCTTAGTCTTAGATTGAAGAACTGTTATTCAGTGAATGTGATGTTCAGAAATGAGCAGTTGAGACCCAAATCTACCTATAATTTTTTAACTTCATGTCTGATATTAGCAATTTTGACACTTATTGAACAAGGAAATTACAACATCTCTCTGTGCTTCAACTACATGTTTAATAATAAATGAATACATGATGATTACTAGTCCAGAAGATGAAGAGAATGCTGTCCTAAAAATGATGTCACCTTGGAATTGTTAATTCTTGAAAAAAGTTTGAGTACCATTTCATCAAAAAACAGATTATTTCCTTTAATGTTGACCATTATAATATCCTGTGAGCTAATTGGATTGTCATTATTGTAATCTGAATTATAATCATATGTATTTATGAAGAAGTTTTGCATAGTCAAATAATTTTGAATTGCTTATTATTAGCTGATGGAGATTGCAGAACCCCAACAATTAGCATGGTTCCCTTCTCCTTATCATAGACAGAACACCTGGGGTTCACATTCTATATTTTTTCATGAGATAACATAGCCACAGTTCTGATTCTCAGTCAGTATGTGCTTAGCCTTCTATATCGGTCTGTCAGGCTCCTTTGTTCTACCTTCAACTTACCACATAATAATTATTTAATTCATTTAATCTTATTCTCTTTGAGCTTAAATCACACATCAGGAAATGTGAAGATAGTTTTTTATAATGATACACTTTAGTGCTTCTTTTTGTTTTTGAGACAGGGTTTCTCTTTTAATGCTTTTTGTCCTAGAACTCACTCTATAGAAGAAGCTGGCAGAGAAGTCAGAGATCTGCCTGTGTCTGACTCCCAAG